TTATCCTCCGTGTCGGCGAAGCTAGCGTCTACGTACACGGCCAGCCCTAACCCCGATCCCCGTTGGTAGGTGATGCCGAGGTCCCTCGTCCCTTTCAGGTAGCCGAGGATCTTCTGTATGGCATCCCAGTGCCGCTTCGCCGGGGCGTGGGCGTGGCGCGCTACCGCACGCACGGCGAACGAGACGTCTGGACGCGAGAAAGTCGACACCCACATCATGCTGCCGATGGCCTCCCTCACCGGCCACTCCCCTCCTTCCTCATCCTCTCGCTTCGGCCCTAGATCGGCACCAGGGGTAGCGGGGATGCGGGAAGTTGATTTCACATCGAAGCGTGCAACCATGCTGTCGATATACGCGGTTTGGGAAATTCTAAGAGTCCCAGCCTCTACATCTCTCTCGATGGCACACCCATCAAACCATTGACACTCTCCAAGGTTTTTGGTGGGAAATTTCTTGTTGAGAGAAGCAAGCAACTCCTCGCAATCCTCGTCCGAACCAGCCACCAAAATGTCATCCACGTAGATCACGATAATCATCACCACGACTTCGTCTACCATCTTGCGGAAAACACAAGTGTCCGCCTTGCACTGCTCGAACCCGTTCTCGACTAGCGTATCAGCAGCGTGGTACCCCCACTGCCTACCGCTCTGCTGGAAACGAAGCGCGCACTGCTGCGAGCGGAGACAGATCCGCCCGCTGGTGCAGGAGGGTAGCGATGCGGAGCTTGCAAGTTTGCAACTGCAGGTCTCGCGATTGGCGGCCCTGGTGGAGGAGTCGATAAAGAAGGAGCCTGGCAGCGTCGTGGCGGATACAGTCAGTAGGGGCGGCTGGGTTGCCGCCACCAGAGGCCAAGAGCCCCTCCAACCGCACGGCGGAGGCGGGGGATTTGTCCAGCAGCAAGCAAGAGATGGTGGACAAGAAACACGTCAGCTGCTGGANCGAGGGGGTTAAACCCCCCAGGTGAGATACCCGTGATTCGAGGAAATGGAGAATTCCTCGAAGGCTACAGCAGTAGCCACATGAAGAGAGTAACAGTCAATGCCCCGCGTCTCGAAGGGGAGAGTCGCGGCCATGGGTATGACTCGTGGAGAAAGTCGCTTATGCAAGCGGCCAAGACTGTAGGACTGGACGGCCAAATGATCGGTAACAACGAGAGACATGCACCTGCGGCAACCCAAACGTGCCAAGCTAGGAGCTGCACCGCCCGCAATACACCAGCGACGAGGTCCAGAGGGGCCTCCAGGCGTTCCATTTTGTAACCACTGCCATCGTCACAGAAACCGACAAGGCGATCGTGAACAAAAGCGAGACCGCAAAAGAGATCCTCGCGGAACTCGACAAAATCTACGATCCGGAATCGCAGGGCTCGAAACAAGCCCTCATGAAGCAAATGTTCAGCTTCACGATCCCCTCACACAGCAGCAGAAACCCCATCGAGCACCTATGCTCGCTCGAGCTGCTGNGCCTCGAAGGGCCAGCGGAGGGCGGAGCACGCTCTCCTCGCAAGCGACGGTAGCGGTGGGGGAGGAGCGCCGGGCCGCGGAAACGGCGGCCGCCGCAAGCGTGGCGGCGGCGGTGGCGGCGGCGGCGGCAACCAGAAGGGGAGAGTGGGTGGCGCGAAGGCTGGTGGCGGCGGCGGAGCCGGCGACGACGATGCGGGTAGCATGCGCGGTCGCTGTTTCCGGTGCGGCAAGAAGGGCCACCAGGTGGCCGACTGCACCGAGAGCAAGCCCGTGCGATGTGAGACATGCAAGGGCTACGNGGCCAACTGCCCCGAGAGCAAGCCCGTGCGATGTGAGACATGCAAGGGCTACGGGCACAAGCGCAAGTGCCTGACCGAGGAGGCGGCGCTCGTGGTGGAAGTGCCGGCGGGGGGGGCCTCGGCGGACGCCACAGCACTGGACGTGGCAGAAGGGGCGCTGGTGGTCGGTGACGTCTCAGGCTAGTGTCACAAAGTCGTTGGTCGAGGGGATGTAGAGCAGGCTAGGCGGGGNGGCTAGGCGGGGTAGGTATGTTGCCGATACCGGCGCTACCACCCACATGTTCGCGAACTCAGATGGGTTCGTTCGTTACGAAGAGTGTGATCGACGTGTGCGCGTCGCCGCCCGAGAAACCTTCCCTATCGTAGGGTATGGCGACGTGACGGTAACCCTTAGCTCGCGCGACGGTACAACCGACCTGTTGTTGAAACGAGTTGCACGCGTTCCTCGACTTGATCACAACCTAGTATCTCTCACTTGCCTCTTCGACGACGGATTCGAAACCAAAACCCTCAATAAACACGAGTTGGAATTGGAGAGAAGGGGGGGGGAGTCGATGTACTTCCCCCGATGCGATAACCTGTACGTCCAAAAAGGTTTCCGCACACACACCGAACATGCTTATGCCGCAATTCCTCCTGGCAACGGGAAAGCGTCCAGCGCCCCCGTTGACATCAACGATTTAAAGTGCGCGCACGGCCACGCCCACGAGGTGCTGCTGAGGACCACGGCGAAGCAGCAGGGGACGACGATGGTGGACGAGCTCTTGGAGTGCCTGGGGTGCTCGACGGCGAAGGGGCTTTCCAAGCCCATCCCCAACAAGACGTCGACCCGAGCAATGAACGATGCCGAGTACTTCCAGTCCACCACCCTCCTCCGGTATGCCGGAAAGCTGGGAGGTCTGTACCCGGATGATGCTCTCGCCGCCCTCAAGGTGGACGAGATCGTGATGATCGCGGAGGACGTGTTGACCAACATGTCCAAGTGCACGGGCCAGAAGGACGACACAGTCGCCAAGGGAGTACTCGTGGGAAAGATCAAGACCCTGGTGGACATGCTTGTCGCCAAGCTTGCGGCTAACCCGTCCTCCATGTTCTTCGTTGGCAACTCCCCCAACATCGCGGACCTCCAGGTGCACGCCGTGATCAAGAACTCCCAAGCGAACTTCCTGACGGGTCTCCCCACGACCCACATCGTGGACACCGCTCCCACGCTCATGGAAATGGAGGCTGCCCTCGTGGAGGACCCCAAGGTGAAGGCGTACTACGCCTTCACGGCTGAAATAGCTGACACCAGCTAGCGGGAGACCTCCTGTACCCACGTACACATCTCAAGGAAGCGGTCGAGGACATTCGAGACACGCGCGGTACGGCATGCACCTGAGCGATTGGCTATTTGTCTGATAGTCTCGTCTCGACGCCGTCCCTTCCTTCACCTTCTGTACTTGGTGTGGAGTATGACGTGGTTACTAAGGAGGGGGGACGTTGACAACACCGTCCCCTCCCCTTATTTTGGCGTTTGGTGTGGAGCAGGTGGTTGGGAATGGAGACACGGACGAACTCGTCCCCTCCGTTGGTTCTGGCTCTTGGTGTGGAGTAGTACGTGGTTAGTAAGGAGAGGGGACGTGGACGACACCGTCCCCGCCTTCGTTTGGTTGATGTTTCTAACACTGTTTTAAACGGACGTATCTCCGCGCACAATTCGCGGGTAGCCCTGATTTTGTTTTCATTCTTTAGCTTCTCGTTAGCTCTCGTTTGAGCACTTCAGCGTGCCGATCGGGTCAAGCACTGCCGAGCTACAGCACAGCCCCCACCCACGCCCCTGATGAGGGCCATCGTTGCCCTTGCTGGGGTCCTGCTGCTAAGCATGGGACGGGTGAGAGTAGAGCCAGAGCGGGCCCAGAAGGCTGCCGATGCAGTACGCAAGCGGTGAGGTGTCGTTTAGGGTTGCTGCGGACACCTACGGGTTGAACCCGACCTCGCTCCACCGCCGTGTGAAGGAGGTGGCCATAAATGCGAGGGTTGGTCCCGGTACTGTCCTGTGCAAGGAGGAGGAAGATTTCGTAGAAGATGTGTTGATTTACGCTTTCCGACACTTTTTGCTGTTGGGTCGGAGGGAGCTGAAAGAAGCTGTGCGGGATCTGCTTCGACGGACGCAAGGGTGCCCTGGGACCCAGACAAGGGCCCGGGGGACAGCTGGCTTGAGGGATTCATGGCGAGGCACCCGGGGTTGTCGGAGCGCGCTACCCACATCTACGAAGCAAACCGGATCAACGTAGACGACGAGCCTCGCCTTGAAGCCTTCTACGGGACATGGGAAGCGTACCTCGCGGAGACCAAGCTCACGCCGGACCGCATCATCAAGACGGACGGGACAAGTAAGTTAGGGCAAGGGCTGAGGTGTCAGTGGTGTGAGTATGGACTGCTGTGGGTTCGTAGGCGAAGTACCAGCAGCACTGCGATGTGTGATGTGTGTGACAACAAAGCAGAGTTCTGCTGCTGCTGCAAAAAAAAAAATGGCAGTTGTTCCGCATATCTTTCCGAGGCTGCTGTTGCTTGCCATGCTTGTAGCGCACAACGCGTATATAATGCTGGATCCGGTTGAGGGTTCAGCATGCAACAATCCCTGTGGTCATCTCAGTCATACTCTAGCACAGAAATGGTAGGGCTCATGTACGATATTCTACACGGTGCTGATGTTGTGTGCCACACGCGACAGCGGGCGTGTGCGGTGTTGGTCCGCATGCACGCGTGTTGGCAATGCTGTGCGACGTGCAGTCAAGTCGAGACTTCAGTAGGAGGGTTTGCTTTTGTAAAACCACCTTGGTTGCGAGCTGAGTGTAAACGTTCGTGGGTGTGGGGTTGTTGGTTCACACCCAAAGTCTAAACGAATCCGACTGCTGTTGAAGAAAAAAAATGGTTCCGTCACCACCGCTGTGTACCGCCGCCCAGCGCGAGCTGCGCTTATGTGCGTGTGTACGCGCGCTTTTTTGTGTGTGCGAGTGCTGCTGCTGCGAAAGTATGTGTACTTTACTGATTGTTCGACTGCCTCCACCCACGATGCACGCGCGTTCTCCGGGGTGTGTTGTAGGTTCCACCCCGCAAGGTACAAAGTCGGTGAAGGCTATCGTGCCAACAGGCACCAAGGTGCCCGGCGCGAGGCGCTCCAACTCGCGAGAAAATACAACGGTGGTCGCCAGCATCGGCCCCGACGGCCACACCTACAACCCTATCATCATCTACAAAGGCCAGCGTACACAACCCGCTTGGATCCAGGACAAGAACGGCGTCCCCGATGCGAAGTACACCGTCACGGAGCCATCCTTCATCCAGAGCCACGTGTTCCTCGACTACCTTCGAGACCTCCGCGAACAGCTCGATGCACGCGGCTTGCAGGGCAGAGTTCCCCTCGTGCTCGACGGCCACGCCTCGCACAAGACCTTCGACGCCATCAGCTTGGCCATCTCTCTGGACATCGACCTCTTCCAGCTCTCGTCCCACACATCGCACATCACCCAGCCCTTGGACGTTGGTACGTTCGGAACCTTCACGAAGAAGCTCACCAGGGTGCTCACGGCCTACCCACTGAAAATCGGGGGGAGGAGTCCGGTGAAGCGCGACATGGCTGGCGTGATTGCAGACATGGAGCGGGAGCTTCACGCCTGCGAACAACATGGCGGCGTTCAAAGGGGCGGGCTTGTGGCCGGTGAACATGGAGAAGGCCATCAACCGACTACACGGCAAGAGGAAGCAACGGGAGAATGACCGCCCGATCCCTGATGACCTCGCCGTCGTTGCCTCTAAGAAGCAGCTCGAAGAAGATCTCGGCCACGCTGCCCTCCTGGAGCTGAAACGACACGGTGTGATGATCGAGGGGCTCCGCGTGAACACCGTGTTCCTCGGCGGGCTCACCCACCTCACCAAGCGCTCCAAGTCTTTCGCGACCGTTCGGGCGGGCGGGGGGAAGCCCGAGGGCGGTCTCCTGTCCGCCGAAGAACGCCTTGCCAAGGCCAGGAAGGACAAAGAGGAGAAGGAGGCAGCTGCGAAAGTACAGGCGGACAACGCCAAGGCCCGTACAGAGGCATGGGCAGCGAGGGAGGCCAACCTTGGGCAGGGCGGCGGGCGGGGAGCTGGAGGGCGAGGCGCAGGGAGGAGTGGGGTGCGGGGAGAGGGAAGGGGCGGGGGGCGGTGAGAGATGAGCGTGGGGGGTGGGCAAAACTGTACACGGACGGAGGTCGGGGGGCGCGGCTGTGGTGGGCGTCAGGAAGGGCGAGACGGGCGCGGCCAGAGAAAGGGTGGCCGGGGCCGCCCCGCTGGTGCTCGCGGAGAGGGAAGGGGGCTAGTGGGCGGGTGGGGGCCGGTGCTCGCGTCCAAGGAAGAGCGGGACGGCCGAGAGGGGCGGTGGTTCCCCTTGGTTCAGCCGCCGCCGCCAGCGGCCCCTTTTTTCTCTCGAGGACGGCAACGAGCCCCGACACCAATCGTTGATGTGTAGACTACATGCTGCACGGTTATCGGTTTTTTTTTCGAGTGAAGGATGAATTATTCGAGTGAGACATACAGAAAACGTCAGTTGAGTGTCGAGGTGCCGATATGCATTCCAGGGTTGTGCTCTAACAGCTTTTGGGGGTAGTTTTTCGAGCGTCCCACGGGGGGGGAGGGGGGGTGTAGAGGTGTTTTCCGGAACCCCGGGGACGTTGAAATGCTGTCCCCGGGCCTGAAGGGCTATTGATTGTTTTGGCTACTTTNGAGTGAGACATACAGAAAACGTCAGTTGAGTGTCGAGGTGCCGATATGCATTCCAGGGTTGTGCTCTAACAGCTTTNGCACGGTTATCGGTTTTTTTTTCGAGTGAAGGATGAATTATTCGAGTGAGACATACAGAAAACGTCAGTTGAGTGTCGAGGTGCCGATATGCATTCCAGGGTTGTGCTCTACCAGCTTTTGGGGGTAGTTTTTCGAGCGTCCCACGGGGGGGGAGGGGGGATGGGGGGTGTAGAGGTGTTTTCCGGAACCCCGGGGACGTTGAAATGCTGTCCCCGGGCCTGAAGGGCTATTGATTGTTTTGGCTACTTTGCGACTTGAGCTGATCGTCTTGAAAGGACCTTTCGATGGGGCGTTCGAGTGGTGGAAAGCAGGTGCGATTTTCTGCGAGAAGTCTCACCGTAGTGCCAAGCTGCTTTTTGCCTGGCCCAGTTTACGTATTGAATGTATGTAGTCTATGTAAAGAGGTCAAATGAGCTCCAGACGACATGGTTTTTTCTTACAGTCAAATTAATGTGCCTAGTAGAAGCTTGGGGTGGTTTTCAGGGCTATGCAGAGATGCTAGGCGTGCCCTCCAGNGGGGGGGCGTACTCTTATGTTTTGCATGTCTTAGCGGTTAGACCATTGACCACGCGTCCTCGAGAGGACGGAGCATTGTTCCCACAGGACCGATCACCGATGGCCAATCGTTCCTTCCTACTTTGCCAAAGGTGGCTCAAAAATGTCTTCCCTAGTCTGTCTATCCTAACGATATCCCTTCCCGCCTTTTCAACCCACCTCCTATGCCCCAGTACAGCTACCGTCCTTTCCTCTCTATTCCATGCCTCAAACATCTCCCTGTACGTCCTATCTATTTTTCCCAGCTCAGTCACGCATACTTCCCTCCCCTTCTTGTACAGCGGACATTCCGCGACTACATGAATACGGTCTTCGCATTCGAAGCCGCAATCACATTTGAACTCGTCGTCTTCCTCGTCTACCGTCCTATGTCTTCGTCGACGTTCTCGAAGGCCT